AAAAGTTAAAGTGTAAAGTGAAATAAACGGGATAATGTGCAGCGAGGCGGTGATTAGTGAAAAAGGTTGAGAGTTCTTTCTTCAATAATGACCGCCAGGCTCAGCGGTGTCAAACTCAATTTCATCGCGGGCATCATCAGCATTATGGTTGCACTCAAAGGGCCGGTTATAACTTTAAGACTATATAAATATACATATATAAATATACAATAGATATAAAATAATGTATTATGTCACATTATTGCCTCTGCATTGGATTATTATCAGATAGGGTAATAACTTCATAATTAACTACGTCTGAAAGCAGAAGTCTAGGGCAAATAATTGCAAATAATTGCAAGTCTCAGTGCGCATGTCACAAAATGAGATGCATTGTGGGACATGTAGTTTATGGGCAACGTATTATATTCTTTGCAAGCTCTTGGGGGCTCGAGCTGCAGATTGACAATAAAGTTGACTTTGACTATTATGAGTATCACAGGAACCCCCATGCAGTCACATCCCTGTCTCTGCACAGCGCCCCCCGGTGGTCGTACCTGGCAGTATCCGATCTTGGGGTTTCGGTGGGCGTATGCGGTGAGGACCCTCCTCAGCGCGGCGATGCCGGTGGGGTTCTGGAAGGCGGGATGGTCGGGCAGCGAGCGGTGCAGATCCCTCTCGATCTCGTCTGTGGTCAGGCTGATCTGACCCATCGACTTCTGCACCAGACCGCTGTAGTACCCGGGGTGGGCCTCCAGCTCCGAGGACGCGTCTGCAACAAAAACAGAGAGACGGAGAGGATAAACAACTTTTCTTTGCCACATTATAACTGTTTTTAAAATGAGGAGAAAGCAAAACACACATGATTTTTATGGTTATCTTTAAAAAAAAAAAAATGAAATCCCTTCCACTTGATTTTAGTACTCTGCTAACTTAAGACTTTTTTGAAAACTTTACTAGATTAAGACTTTTTAGCCTAAAGCAAATCTAATCAAAACAGGATAGACAGTCAATCAAGATGCCGAAAATATGATTATATGAGGAAGACCTTTTAGTTTCCTTTACTGTATCAATGCATCCCGTTTTATAGAAAAGTAACTCATCGCATAAATGTAGTGCAGTAGAAAGACAAGATGATTGAGGAGTTTAATTAAAAAGTACATACAACTTGAGTAATTGTACTTTGTTACATTCAACCACTGATGTTTTCTATCCACACTAAAGAGCGTTAAACTACTGTGTCTGTAACGCAGTGTGCAGGACTTTGCACAGCCTCATGTGTATGTATGTATGTATGTATGTATGTGTGTGTGTGTGTGTGTGTGTGTGTGTTTTTACCTGACAGCGACATCCACAGCTCCCCCCTCAGAGAATCTGGTATCCCCATGGCAACGAGTCTCTGTGTTTTGTCCGTTCTAAACATCGTGACGCCACGACCGAACTCTGAGAAGTGAGCGTCCCACAGACGCTGCTTCACCTCCTCCACGCTCTGAATACACAAACACATATTTTAGAAAAGGGATGGACATATGGAAGAGTACATGTTGATGGGGTCGAGGTTTATTTTCTTAATGAGACTTTTTATGATTTGTTTTTATTACTGATTTTTGTTCTGCCTTTTGTGTTTAAAATAAAAAGCATAAAGCATTACAATGCCTGGCTTATGTTTACATGTCTACACACATCTACAATGAAAATGTAATTCAATAAAAAGACATTTTAATGAAAATAAATAAAAAATGAAATACAAATAAATAAAATGAATAAAAAATAAATGCATGTTAAGTTAAGTGTAGTTATTTAGAAATTGTGTTTTGGGTAAGATACTTATCTAGTTGAATCAATTAAGTGGTTATCTGGTTGATGTTTACATATATATAAATAAAACAAAATAATAATAAGTACAAAAAAATCAACAAAATAATTGAGTGAGTAAAAATAAATGAAAGTAAATTAATTAATAACCTTAAGCTAATAAATGTTAAGGTTATTTTTATAATAAAAATGTAAATAAAAACAAATCTCCATAGTAGGTTGAATATTTAAAACGAAAGTTAGTTATAATCAAATATAATCAATTATATTCTTGTATAACCCAAAATGAAAATGCTTCATATTTTATGATTTTCTATATTTACAGTATAAACAAAACACAAGTGGTTTGTTAAATTGAGTGTAAGGCCTATTATGGTTTATGGGTGTCACTGATAAGAAAGAGGAGACAGTTTCTTCCCACAGCGGTGCACAGGGGGGGGGCTCCTGACTTTTTGGAGAAAGACTGAGGCCTCAAAAAGGTGTTTGTGCCATAGAATGTCTGGTCATGTCCAGTCCTGTACAACAGAGGCCATGCCCAGTTTCCACAAATATGGGTATGGAGGAGGTGTCTTTAGGTTTTTCTGTCCTGTTTCGAGCATAAAAACACTAGCAGAGAGGGAGCAAACGAGAGAGAGAGAGAGAGAGAGAGAGAGAGAGAGAGAGAGAGAGAGCAAACGAGAGAGAGAGAGAGAGAGAGAGAGAGAGAGAGAGAGAGAGAGAGAGAGAGAGAGAGAGAGAGGGAGCAAACGAGAGAGAGAGAGAGAGAGAGAGGGGGGGGGGGGTTCCCCTGGTATGCTCTCTCCCGGTAAGCTCTCAAACTTCTCTCAAACTTGGTAAATATTGCTTAAATCGGGTTTATTGAATGCTGAGTGAATTGTTGGATGAAAGTTTGAAACTGTTAGATCCTACTAACCATTTTTGAGGAACTGCCTCTGAATGTTGTCAGGCTATAGGTGTGAATGTTAGCCCCGGCAATCCGTGAGGAGATTCCTTTGGATTATGTCGGAAGACTTTAATGTCTAAACTATGAATTAAGGTTTCAGATTAGAAAATGACCACCGCATGATATGTTTTATATGATTGTCATGTTGTAACGAGAGAAGGTAAAAACCCTGTATACGTGTGGACCAATTTTTCTTCAAATAAACTGATCCCAGCTTTTGGATTGGGACAAATTAAAATAAATCTGTGCTCTCCTCTCCTGCTTGAAAGGTAAGATTGCACACTGCCACACTCACACTTAGGTAGGGCCACACCTCATTACTGATATCAAAATCCTTCGGGATCGCTTAAACAGATTTAGAGGGTCGTCTGAATTGAAACAGCAGTTAATTGAACCTGGTTCTTCAGGAGGTAATAGAGGTGAGATCTTGCTGACGTTGGTGGATCTGAGCCGAGCAGTAAACGTACATAGACTCAATAACTTCTGTTAGGTCAATAAGTAGGTCTGAGTAATTTGCCGGAATAAATTATCAGCTCTCCCGACTCCAGTTGGTGAGGAACTGTGTTGTAATTTGGGTAAACTGATTATCTGATATAGGTGAGTTTGATTTGAGCTAAATGCCTCCTCTCCAACCTTGTTGCCGTTGGTTCCCGGTTGGTTTAGGTGGAAGGCCGTCATCAGAGCCTCGCTGTTGACGGTGTTTCTGAGAACCTGCTCCTCGATCTCCTCTTCATCAGACTGCCCCGTGTCGTAGTAGAAAGTGTAGTAAGGTGTCGGGGACCTCTAAAAAATAAATGTGGGGAGAAAAACATCATCAGTTTCTCACAGAAAAGAAATCAAAATGTCAAAACTGAGCGGTTAAACTAATTTATTTGAATATTTAAGGTTTAAAAGTTGGTTTTCACGATCATATAGACGTCAGCCAAAATAAAGTCATCAGGTTACATTTCTGCTAATATACTTCTCTGGCCCGTAAGTAACCTTTTAATGAAGTTCAAGAAACATCCATTAAAAACTCTCAGAGGGAAACTGGATAGTAGATACCGGCATACAAGATGGAAAACAAAATAAAGACTGATGTATTTTAATGCGTGTTAACCCGTACATATAATTCGATTGTTTACAGAAGACTGGGCAAGAATAAGATATTTCAACTGTTTAGTGACATTAAGTACAAGAGGCGCCGTTTTGAATGTTGTTTTGTTAATTGTTATGCTGCGTTCACACCGGACGCGATGCGATGTTTGGGGGCGGCGCGATTACATGTAAAGTCAATGCAGAGACGCAGACAGACGCGAATTCGCTCCGACGGCGAGCATGAAGCGGTGGACGCGAATTCCGCAGCGCGATTGAGGCGATTGAAGGGGGCCGCGACAAACGCTTGAGTTACATTTTTTCAACTCGAGCGTCATATTCGTGTGACGCGATCTCGCGGTAGCCAATCAGCGGTGAGGATCTCAGCCTGCCGTCACTGACGTTCAACCAGAAAACATCAGCCGTTAGCTGTTAGCAGTTAGCACACAGAGCTCACAGCTCCTCATATCTGTTCAGAAACTGGACAAAAGTTGCTTTATTTATGTCTGTAGGCCGTTGTTATGAGTGTGGACGGAGCATATACAACGTTAGCTTAGCCTGGTCGATCCGATCTTCATTCAGAAAACACGCACTTTAAAAGGTGTTTCCCCTGCCGTCTTGTCTGCAGACTTGTCAAAGCATTAATTCATGGTTTTTACTAACCGGTATCAGTATGTTGTTACTTCGGCATCATTTTGAATGATTCAATTACAATTAAATCACGGTAAAATATGTTCATTGTGTTGTAGTTGTAGCTCCCGAGCCAGCGCGTCTTGTTTGAATGATGCGAGTAAACACAGCTGACAGCCGTGGTGAAACTCGAGCATTTAGAGCGATGCGATAAGAGCGATTAGAGCGAAGTGAATATTCGCATCGCGTCCGGTGTGAGCGCAGCATTAGACCATTAGAGGTAGTGAGGTTTTGTTTGTTTTCATTAGTTAGTCCTCTTAGAGAAGTGAAAAGACTAAACTACAGTGAGGAAATGTTGAATATGGTTAATCTATTTGGAGAATTGTAAGCTGTACCCTGCTCCGTTTGTGGATGTGCTTTTATTGTATTTTTGTTGAATTTGTTAATTTGCAAATGTAATTATATTCTTGGTCTGTACTTTAAACTGATTTCTAGTAACTGGTCACTTTTTATTAAATTTGTGTGCATTATTTAGTAATCTGCAATATGTCTAATGTTGGGGAATGTCCGGTTGTGTTTGTGTAATGTGATAAATGTAAAAAATCAACAAAAAAGTTAGTCCTCTTAGAACTTTGATTTCACCGAGAACACCTGGTGTTAGTGTTGCTTCCCTTCCCCTCCCAGAGTCAGGTTGTTATATCTCTGCCGCCACACGTACCATGCTCCTCTTGCCGTCCTTCTTGCCTCTGAACATGGCCTGTTTCCACTGCAGAGATCGCAGTCTGGCGTTCAGGTTTTCCACGAGCTCGTCGCGGTCCTGCAGCTCGATCAGCTGGAAGGCTTTCTTACTGCGGACGCTCACGATGACGGGGTGAGGCAGCAGGCTGGTGCTCTCCGCTTTCTCTATGGACAGCACCTGAGGGAGGGAAAAACGCATTACAAATAAGAATACAAAACATATCTTTATACTTGTGTTTGCAAAGCACTCAGAATTGCCTTTGCAGCGACAAAACTCCCATTGAATTGAGTCACTTATGAGGCTAAGTTTGGTTCGTACTGAGATTTTCAGATAAAAAGCCAATTTTCTGTAAAAGTCACAATTCTGCTAAGAGATGTCCCGCCCCTTGGCCTATCACGTACAATGTGTTAGAGCGCTAGCCAATAGAAGCGCTTCTAATACAATCAAATGTATTTGTTCATTTAGTTTTAAGAGACATGTGACTTGACATGTGTATATAAATACTTTTAGACTTTTAAAGAGTTTGAACCTACTCATGATGTTAACTCTGTGCTGAGCAGTCCGTACTGAAGATCTTGTTCCATCCAATTTAATAACACAAATAAACAATAACACCATAAGGTCAACTAAAGCTACATGTATCTGAACCAAATCACCCTCTTTGTCCATCAGCACGCAACAGGTGGACTAAATACCTTAAACCACACCCATGTGACAATGCAGGAAGTGACTAATGTGGTGTAAACAATTAATGATAAAAATATAAATAAACAACAATGGCTAAATAGGCATTTTGGCTCCGACAGCCTTGTTGTTGAAATGTGCCAAATACATTCTTATGACAGAAAGTATCATATTTAGTCCAGAAAGATAATGTAATGTTTTTATGTGATAACGGAGCTCAGCAGTATTAATTCCTCTACATTTTAAGAAGCTGAACTAGTCCTTTCACAAAGCAAACACCACGTACATAACTCCAGAAATGAACATCACCCCTCTGCACTGCAACGTGTGAACATTACCAGCCACAGGAAACCAATCTGTGTTACTGTTTAACCAGCAGCAGGCCGAGTAAACACACACTGTTTAACAAGCTAACCTAACAATACATGACGGAAAAAACAGAATATCTCAGATAAACACTCTGGAGTTAAGTCTCAGGGTCAAAGGACAGACTTGTAACTGTACAAGACCAGGGGACAGTTAAGTCAATACAGTGGAGGACTAATAATAAGTGTTTTGTACTTCCAGAAGGAGATTGTGTCGTATCTATCATTAGTTTTCAGCGTCCAGAATCACACACTTGTTTAATTCTGCGATCTGGAGGTCATGGGTTTCTACGTTCAAGTGATTATCACTCAATACTAATAAAGTCACATGACTAATGTTCTTGGACTTCTGTTTCTCACTTCCCGTAGGCCTTTACAGTTCACATTATGACAGAGAAATACAAAAAATATATGGCTGTAATTACTGTTAATCTGTAAATGCAGCTGTATCATTTCACAACGGATCATGGAGCCTGGCCTAGTTTAGACATTTGTCATCTCATGAAGCATTCAAAGACACCATCCTGGGAGTAATCTTGAACATTTTAGACTTTTAGGAGAACCACCTGAATGCACCATTAGCTCTTCTGTTGAACTAAGTTAGAAAACATACAATAATGCGTCCTTAGAGCCTCGTGGACCACCACATGTGGGTCAAGATGTTCATGTGAGGCTTACTGGTCTTCAGTCCTTTAGAGTTTATGACTTAAAAAAGGTCTGAAACGGCACAAAGCCAGAGCCTACATACTATACTACGTCATATTTCCATTGACGTTACTACTACTGTAGCTACTGTGCTGAGATGGCAAAAGTACCCACATCCTTTACTCAAGTAGAAGTACAGATACTCGTGTTTAAAAATACTCTGGTGAAAGTAGAAGTACTGACTAAACTTCTTTACTCAAGTAAAAGTAAAGAAGTATGGGCTTTGAAATGTACTTCAGTAAAAAGTACCCATAACTAGCAGCTGTTTTAAAGAGTACCTGACCTCCCTTTATATTAATAGAACAATAATGTCATTGTTAGCTAATGAATGTTTCCATGCTGAACAACGGCAACATGCCAACGTTTTCATTGGTCCCTCTTCTTTAGAGAAGACCAGGAAATGATGGATACACGGATCGTGTTCAAATCAATAGGCACGCTGTTGAGATCTCCATATTAGGTTGAATACTTAAAACAAAAGTTAGTTATAATCAAATATAATCAATAATATTCTTGTATAACCCAAAATGAAAATGCTTCATATTTTATGGTTTTCTATATTTACAGTATAAACAAAACACAAGTGGTTTGTTAAGTTTAGTGTGTAAGGCCTATTATGGTTTATGGGTGTCACTGATAAGAGAGGAGGCAGTTGCTTCCCTCACAGCAGTACACAGGGAGGGGGGCTCCTGACTTAAGGAGAAATACACTGAGGCCCCAAAAAGGTGTTTGTGCCATAGCCGAGAATAATATTTTGCAAGTCCTGCACACTAGAGGTCATGACCTTTTTACACAAACATGGAAAGGTGTGTCTTATGCCATAGCCATAGAATATGTCTGGACAAGTCCAGTCCTGTACATCAGAGGCCATGCCCAGTTTCCACAAATATGGGTATGGAGGAGGTGTCTAAGTGTTTCTGTCCTGTTTTTGAGCATAAAGACACTGGCAGAGAGCGAGCAAACGAGAGAGAGAGCGAGCAAACGAGAGAGAGAGAGAGAGAGAGAGAGAGAGAGAGAGAGAGAGAGAGAGAGAGAGAGGGGGGAGGGGGGGGTTCCCCTGGTAGCTCTCTTCCGGTAAAGCTCTCTCCCTAGAGAGCTGGGTTTTTGCTCTCGGTAAGGTTCTCTCAAACTTGGTAAATATCTCTCGAAAGTTAGTACCCTGCCACCTGTGAGGAAAGGTCCTCCGAATTCATGCGGGACTAGTTGAAGTATATGAATGTGGAAATGAGCAAAATGAATTGATTTGTTGAATGAAAGTTTGAATGTGCTTTTTATTATCACCGGTCATTTATGAGGAGATGCCTCTAAATTCTGTCGGACGATTTTAAATGTCACAACTGAATTGGGCAGTTGAAGTTACAATTTAGTGTAATAAATGTAAAACTGTGAATTGAGGTTTCATATTAGAACATGACCACCGCATGATATGTTTTGTAGGATTGTCATGTTGTAACGAGAGAAGGTAAAAACCCTGTATAAGTGTGGACCCATTTTTCTTCAAATAAACTGATCCCACCTTTTGGAATGGGACAACTTAAAAGACATCTGCGCTCTCCTCTCCTGCTTGAAAGGTAAGATTGCACACTGCCACACTCACACTTAGGCAGGGCCACATCTCATTACTGATATCAAAATCCTTCGGGATCGCTTAAACAGATTTAGGGGGTCGTCTGAATTGAAACAGCAGTTAATTGAACCTGGTTCTTCAGGAGTTAATAGAGGTGAGATCTTGCTGACGTTGGTGGATCTGAGCCAAGCAGTGAACGTACATAGACTCAATAACTTCTGTTAGGTCAATAAGTAGGTCTGAGTAATTTGCCGGAATAAATGATCAGCCCTCCCGACTCCCAAGAACGCAATGACTCTAAATAATAATGATAACCAGCCTGTTTGGAAAATGTAACAAGTAGAAAGTACAGGTATTTGTGTTCAAAATGTAAGAAGTAGAAAGTACAGGTATTTGTGTTCAAAATGTAAGAAGTAGAAAGTACAGGTATTTGGGTTAAAAATGTAAGAAGTCAAAGTAAAAAGTCGTCAGAAAAATAAGTAGTGGAGTAAAGTACTGATACCAGAAAAATGTACTTAAGTACAGTAACGAAGTATTTGTACTCCACTACTTCCCACCTCTGCTACTGTGCATATGACAATAAAGCGTTTAATCTGATGACCCCTCAGTGGTGCTGTGATGCAGGGACGTACCTCTGAGAGGGGGATGAGCAGGGTGCAGCTGCCCTCCTCTCTGCTGGAGAAGCACAGGTAGCAGTCGGTGGTGTAGAGGGTCCCGGCCGTGTGGCAGCGAGCGTGGGGGGTCCACACCGAGCAGGAGGCCACCTCGTGGAGCCTCTCCCCCCGAGGGAGGCGAAACAACGCCAGCACGTACTCCCGTATCGCCTGCTCCTCCAGGATCCTGGGGAAGAAGATGGTGAGGGAGAAAATGTTACGGTTATAGCGCTGATCAGTCTTGCACTAATGCACATTTCGCAAAGTTATTGAAGGGACTGTTATTTTGTATATATTGATTGTTGTGCTTTTATGTATGTCTTAATGTGTGCATACGTATACATGTGTCTGTTGATTGAGTATATACATATTTTTATATATATATTTGTATTTTCGTATTCGGGATTGTGGGAAACGGTATTTCGATCTCTGTCTGTACACACAAACTGAAATATTGACAATAAAGTTGACTTTGACTTTTGACTTTGATCTACCAATCAGAGGGGAAATCGTGGTGGGTAGCCTGAGCAAAAACAACAAAAACATTTAGAGTTGAATAATGGACACAGAGAAAAGTTTGAGGAGCAAAGATGTACCAGCTGATTAGTTTAAAAAAGGTTTTAGGTGATAGAAAATGTACAATGTCCGGGTGAATATTTACTTCATTTCTTGGCTTAAAATTGACTGGTGGACCATGAACGCATTTTTTTTTTTTTTAAATCAGCACATCACTTAATTATTGGTTGTTTTGAATACATTGTTGTTATAATTCACGATCATATAACTTAATTATATCTTAAAGGTGGGGTTGGTAACTTTGAGAAACCGGCTCGAGATACACTTTTTGTTATATTCCATGGAATGCTCTGAACATCCCGATAGCAATGAATATCTTAAATGCTTTGACAATAAATCCATAAAAAAATGTCATCTGTGGAAGCCGTAGTACTGTAAAAAGCACGACCAATCATCTGAGCCGGCCCGGCTAAAATAACTGGATGGCCTACCTGCCTGTCAGCCTTCCATCTGTGCACAAACTTATCTCGTGCCCTCATTGGTCATGTGCGCGTTCGTGTGTGTTGGAGGAGGGGCTCTGTAAGGAAGTGGCAGATTTTCTCCGGTTGTGTATTTTCAAATTCTAGCTCCCTCGAGCCGGTTTCTCAAACTTACCTACCCCACCTTTAATGATTTCCAAAAAGTGATAGGGTTATGTATTTTCTTAGTGGGTGTTGGAGTTTATTCATAGTGATTACAAGGGAACTGATATATTTTATTCCCGTGTTTTTAGTTGTATGTTTGGTTTCTCTGTTATTTCTCTGATTTCCCGTTCAGTATCCCATATCACCTGCATGGTCATTTCCTACTTTCTTTTTTGTTTTTGTTTACACCATTCTCTGTGGTTTCTCTGTACCTTTTCATTTCTTCTTCCTCTTTTCAGTTTCATTCTCTTGATGTAAGAGATTACTGTAGCTACTCTAAATACATTTTCTATTCAGAGAGACTAGAAAACATATTTCTGTGTTGTGGTTTGCCAGCCACATACATCTCAGGTTACTTTCAACTCCACTTCCTGTTTTGGTTTGAGCTTTTTACATAGACAGGAATAAATAACCCTGAGTATCACAGTGGCATCTGAGAGCAAAGAGCCATGCTGTTTGTGCATCAAGGCAAATCAAGGGTGTTAAAGTGCTTGATAGGAAACATAAAAAAGAGCTTAAAGTACATAAAGAAATACTAAAAATCTCATCGGTGTCTTAACTCAGCCATCTGTTAAGACTTATAGAAATGTGTTGAGTCAAGAGAGCAGGTTTCTCCCGCACACTGTCGTTTAAAATGTATTAGTGACGCACCTTTTCTATAAAAAAAGCACGAAATAGCAAGAATCTTTCGAGTAAATGTGCCTCCATTGTAAGTAATACTGCACTGACTCCAAATGAGTCAAATCGTTCTCAGTGCTGCAAACAAAAGAGAGAAATCTGTTTAGTTGTATTGGCCAAAGTGAAGTCAAAACGGGTGGTTTTTAGTCGGCAACAAAAGAAGTATAACCTTTGTTGAAGTGATATCAATGGATAGCTAGTTCCACCATTTACAGCCAGGATAGCAATCAGTAGCTAAGCACATTAGCTTTAATTAGGACAAACCATTTGAATGCTGGTGCAACAGATCTTATTTTTACATTACATTACATTACATGTTACTTGTTAGACGCTTTTATCCAAAGCGACTTACATACTCAATACTGTGGGCAATCCCCACAGGAGCAATTTGGGGTGAAGTGTCTCAGGGACACAACGACATGCTGACTGCAGTGGGGTTTGAACCCCCTGATCTGAACACCAACGCACAACCCACTGCGCCACACGCCTCCTTATTTCCAGCAATATTCCAAAATCCAATGCTTTTAGACAAGGGAGCCCTTGCGATGCTAACTTCCAGCTCCACCTGCAAAAATACGTCACCCGTGCATCGCTCCGTTCATTTTGATATGAGGTGTATGCGAGTGTGATAAAGCAGAGCTCTCTGACCTCTTAGTGATGCGTGCCGGCTGCTGCAGCACTCGGTCCAGCTCCAGGCCTTCGCTGTCCAGCAGCCGCCTGAGGGCGATGTCCGCCAGCTGACCTATGACCCCGAACGCCTCGTCCAGGTTCAGGAACATGGAGAACTCCCTCTGTCTCCTCCGGGTGTTGATCCTGATGGCCTCCGTCATCAGACCGCTGGAGACCCGCTCCAACCGCGTCACCTCCGCCCAGGGGATCACAAACTTCACTGAGGGAAAATAAAGATTGAAAGACCAATTTAAAAGATGGGTGACGCTAAGAAAAAGCTCATCTAAAAAGATAAGATAAGATAAGAAGTACGTGTTTGATCCCAATTTGGGGAATGTTTGCGTTGCAGCAGCATAAAAAGACACGGCATTGTACAATACAAATGTAAAGACTAGAAATAAAATAGCATTAAAAAAAGTTGAATTTATAGTAACAAAATATAAAGCAGGATATTAAATATCAGGGTTCATACACTTTTTCACCAATGATTTTCAATGACTTCTCCATGACCTTTACCTAATTTTCCATGACCAAAAAAAATGACTCTTTCTCAGCGGTACCACTGAAAATGGTTTATTTTAACATGGAACAGGAAAATAAGGTCTGAAACATGTTGTGCCTATCTAAAACAAATCAAGGCTTACTAGCTCCTACAGGCTAAAGCAACTAAAATCTCTCTCCAGCAAAATACCTCGTCAGTTAAATGCCATTTTACGTTTCATTACTATACAGTATTTATTATCATTATAGTATTACTATTTTGGCGATTAGATAAAATATAAATTATATTTGATGCAACTTTAGTTACATTTCCATGACTTTTCCAAAACTTTGGGAAAAATATTGTTTTCCATAACTTTTCCAGAGCCTGGAATTATCATTTTGAATTTCCATGACTTCTCCAGGTTTTTAATGACCGTAAGAACCCTGAAATATACATAAGTATGTGAGCAATGGAATATTAAATATTAGATTGGATATTGTAAAATGTTCACTGTGATTTTAAGTCCAGTTGTCCAAGAAGCTATGGAGCAGATCATTCTCTGCCAGCCAGAGGTGTCTTCACACTTTCTCATGTGTAGTCCCAAAATACGTGAGAATAATGATTTGTAAAAATTAATAATTGTGTGTAATTCAGTCTTTTGGTTCAAATCCGAGCCCTGTCTTTAGTGTACGGACCTTTCTTCCCCAGCAGGAAGGCGTAGAAGGCCAGGTGGTTGATGCTGAGCTACTTCATTATTTGATTGTTTTGAATACATTGTTGTTATTAATTCATCTTCATTTAACTTAAAGTGGACCTATCATGCTATATTTGAATAATATAGTGTAGGACCATACCTATATAAGGCATATTTATACTTTTTTTTTTTCAAAATACCAAACAGATCATGCATTTTAGCCATGACTATTTGACCATTTCTAGCTCTGTTTTTGCAAGGGCAGATTCTGTGAACAACAGCACCATCTACAGGCCTGGCATATGTACTACAGCGTCTCCAGCGCTTTCGAACGGCAATGGCCGTGGCTGTCTCCTCCTGATTGGTGGAGTTGGCCCAATAGCCGTAGCGCCACCGTCCTGACGTCAGGACAGTGTTCAAATCTGGATCAGTTTTTATCAGATCCGTTGCAGCCCCTTTTTTAGAGATTTGGGTATGGAGGAAAATAGAGAGGGTTGTGTTTTCTGACACTTGGTGAGTTCCCTGGAACACCGGGGACACCTATTCATGTATAAAAGACGTACAAAAGTGCATTTTGCATGATAGGTCCCCTTTAATTGTTAGTCAGTGGTGGAGTTTATTGACTGCTATTTGTTTATTCCAGTGTTTTTAGTTCAGTGTGCCTTTCTCTGTTACTTCTCTAATTTCACATTCAGTATCCCATATCACCTGCATGGTAATTTCCTACTTTTTGTTTACACCACTCTGGACTCTCTGTGGTTTCTGTGTACCTTTTCATTTCTTCTTGAACTGTTCCAAAAAAAATGATTATTGTGTGTAATTCAGTCTTTTGGTTAAAGGTCACCTATTATGCAAAATCCACTTTCTCATGTCTCTTCTACATCAACATGTGTCCCCTCTCTGTAAAGAGACTCTGAAAGTTTCAGGAACAAAGATTCTCTCTCTTTTTGTCCTGATCCATTTATATAAAAACCTGTCTGAAAATGAGCTGATCAGATTTTGGCCACTTTATGATGTCATAACGTGACGTGACGTAAGAGAATCAGCACTTTTGAAACAGGGCTGAAACAGAGGGGATTATGGGATGCTGCAATGATCTGTTTGGTGTTTGGAGCCAAACACTTCAGAGGCATGATTTGTAAATATCTGAGACCTTTAATATATTGATGAAAAACAGAATAATAGGGGACCTTTAAGTCAAAGCCCTGTATTTGGTGTACAGACCTTCCTTCCCCAGCAGGAAGGCGTAGAAGGCCAGGTGGTTGATGCTGAGGTAGAGGAAGCCCTGCCGCGGCACCCTGCCCTTCCAGCAGCAGCACGAGTAATACGTCACCAGCTTCTCCGACGAAGGGAGGCCAAAGTGCAGCTCGAACTTCCTCAGCAGCTCCCTGAACTTCTCGGGGTCTTCCTCCTGAGCCGCCTGGCGCCCCCGGACCTCCTCAGCGATAAGACCCTGCACCGGAAAAAACATGGATCATTGATAAAGGGTTCCATCATCATTCAAAGATTCAAAGGTTTCATTGTCATGTGCACAAAGCTACAGTGTAGACAGGGCAATGGAATTCTTCTGACCTGAGCTCCTCCAACAATGCAACATATTTAATAAAATACAAAATAGAACAAGTAAACACGGCAGCCATCATAAGCTGTTGCTTTTATCAAAGAGTTTTACAATAAGTGCAATCAACAAAATGTTGCCTGTTTGGGTTTTAAGATGTTTGTTGGATCAAAGTAGAACATCTGCCTCATTGTTTAGGATAATAGGGACATACATTTTAAAGAGGAACTATTATGCTTTTTGGGGTTCTCCCTTTCCTGTAGTGTGTTATATAGGTTTTAGTGCATGTAAATGGTCTGCAGAGGCTAAAATCCCTGTGTTCCTCCAGAGGGAGTTTCTCTCGGCATGAAACGCCTCCATTGGACTCCTGAACATAGTGACATCACCTTGTAACACTGGCACTTCTATAGGCTAGTGTTCCAACACATTATAAGTGTTAGGCTAAGGGGCGGGAGATCTCTAAGCGGTTGACCAATCACAACAGACCGGGCTCTGGTTTCAGACAGAGGGGGAAAAGAGGTGCTGCAGCACAGGCAGTATGAGAAAAATAAAGAGCTTTTTGAACATTAAAGCATGGAGACATGTCCCAGTAGAGACACTACATACTGATATACACCTGAACATCAGCAGGAGAGGACTCTTTAAAGTAGAGACACTACATACTGATATGAACCTGAACATCAGCAGGAGAGGACTCTTTAAAGTAGAGACACTACATACTGATATACACCTGAACATCAGCAGGAGAGGACTCTTTAAAGTAGAGACACTACATACTGATATACACCTGAACATCAGCAGGAGAGGACTCTTTAAAGTAGAGACACTACATACTGATATACACCTGAACATCAGCAGGAGAGGACTCTTTAAAGTAGAGACACTACATACTGATATACACCTGAACATCAGCAGGAGAGGACTCTTTAAAGTAGAGACACTACATACTGATATACACCTGAACATCAGCAGGAGAGGACTCTTTAAAGTAGAGACACTACATACTGATATAAACCTGAACATCAGCAGGAGAGGACTCTTTAAAGTAGAGACACTACATACTGATATACACCTGAACATCAGCAGGAGAGGACTCTTTAAAGTAGAGACACTACATACTGATATACACCTGAACATCAGCAGGAGAGGACTCTTTAAAGTAGAGACACTACATACTGATATGAGCAGAATATTTCCTGGCACTGGTTGGTTTCACACCTTGACTTTTCCTCTGACGAAGCTGGCCCCATCCTCCTTGTTCTCGAACACAGACAGAGAGTGCAGCAGGTTGTGGACCAGCCAGTCCCAGTGCTTATTCACCTCCCCTATAGCGGCTCCTGGGAGAGAAACAGATAAAAAAGGAAAGGATATAACAGCTGTGAGTCATCTGATACAAAGAAATCAAACCAGATATCAAACCAGACCAGACTATACTGTATGTCGTCTTAGATTTTGGATTACACACCAAAAAAGTGTTGTCATTTCCTAGATTTAAATGCTGCATTGCAGTATTGTTATAACTGTTCTATTATTTGCCTTAACCGACCTGTCATTATTGAAACACATTACTGATGATTCATATCCAAGTATCTATTGTGTTGACCTACATTTAACAAAAGCACCACAAGTCCATTCTATAATTTAAAAAGCTTATTTCCATTTGCACAATAGCTACAGCTTAGTTTTGGCAATGAAAATCCTTAGCCCAACAATACAACATACAATATGCGTAAGACACACAAATAAAAATTGTGCAAGAAAATTAGAATTTGCGTTTTTGTTGGAAAATATTCTAATATTAGATTTCTTTTTTTATATCACCCAGCCTGAGTTTCTCACCGCTGGCGATGACCCAGCTGACCTGGGACCCGGGGACCTGCAGCAGGATGCGGAAAGGAGTGACTCTGGCGTTAGAGTCCAGCACCGAGTCCAGCGCCCCCACCAGGAGACCTGCAGAGAGACAACAGGACGCAGAGACAATACATGAGATACATAACAACAAAACCTGCAGTGAGAGGTTCAATCTGTGTGGTGGAAATAAAGCAGAAATAAGGGGGATATCTCGCATGTAAACAGATTTGTAGTGATGTTAAAAAGATCTCTATCTGTGTTTTACATTTTAGTTTTACTTTACTGTACGACGACACCAAGTCAAATTCCTCGTACGTGTCAACCTACCTGGTAATAAACCTGTTTCTGAATCCATTCCTACTGCCCGCATTTTGTGGAACTAACTTCAAGCTGATTTGAATATAAATCTCACGTTACAATGATATGAATTTGGTGCTGGTGCTATAAAAACATTTATCCAACATATTAATCCAACTCAAACAAACCACATTGAAAGTACTATTACATCTCTACAGTCAATCTAAACAGAGAGAGAAGTGAGGAGTTCATACACAGGCAGCAATATTTCACAGCTGGATGACAGAAATACACCGACGGGTGTAAAATATGCAGAGAGGCTCAGAGTGGAGGCACAAGAAAACAGAAACAGACAAGACGTTATTTTAATCTGCCATTTTTATGTTGCGTATTTGGTACTAAGTACTTTTTTTTATTTTACAGAGGCCCCCTGCATGCTTAAAGGGGGGGGGGGGGGTTTGGAAAGTCATAATTGTAGGGATTATTTTACAACCCTTAGGAGTCGATGCACTTCAGAAACAAACTTAGAAGCTTCTTTATACACAGCTCTTTTTACCCCAGCGTTATCAGCCTGATCAGCCCGACCTGCATCTGCAGTACCACCCTGCATTTCAAACAGTTCAAAGTTATGACTGAAAACACAAAGGAGACGTGAGACATGGAGAGAAGAGGGAGAGGGATCAGTATCAGTTTTCCTGCATAATGGCAGACAAGTTTATGATTTAACTGAAAGCGTCAGGTATGTCCGACTATAAAAACCTGCAGTGAAACTGTCAAGAAGAAGCTGAAAGTCTGCTTTCAGAATGGGATTATGTCATAGTCTTGTGAGAGTCAAAAAGAGGCTTTTCCACCTTTGGAAAGTACGCTTTTAGTTCCTTTTACAATCATTCAACTCTGGTTGTATTACACACTGAACATTAGCAAGGCAAGGCAAGGCAAGGCAAGGCAAGGCAAGTTTATTTATATAGCACCTTTCAACACAAGGCAATTCAAAGTGCTTTACAAAAATGGAAGACATTATGAAAATGGCATTTAAAATCAGTCATTAAAAAGAAAAGATAATAAAATAAACATTAAAAGAAAAAATACATGGATAAAAGTTAAAAGTTACAGTGCAGCATAAAATATCATCGGTCATCAGCTTTAATCCAGAAGAATACCAGGCGTTGTTAGTGGAGGCAGGTGGAGATCTGTAGAGATAACGCGTCTGGCACTCAGCCAAATGTAAAGCATATCTCAGAGTCAAAGTCGAGCTGCGTGGAGCTTTGAGGCCGGCCGCCCGGCAACACAAACCCCTCCGTCTGACAACACAAAGCCTGCAGGGGTTACAGGGGAAACTTTCCAGAGAGAGGAGTCAAGATGAATCACCGCCTTTCTCTGCTAATGAATACTGCTGAGGAGACATAGAGACTCCAGCTCTGTCTTGTGCTGCTTTTAGGTCAACGAAATAAATTAAGGACAACGGGTTGAATACAAATGAGCATAATAAGCCCCCTTTAATATTCCTATATTAAAAAAGCTTTTTAAAGAGTCCTCTCCTGCTGATGTTCAGGTGTATATCAGTATGTAGTGTCTCTACTTTAAAGAGTCCTCTCCTGCTGATGTTCAGGTGTATATCAGTATGTAGTGTCTCTACTTTAAAGAGTCCTCTCCTGCTGATGTTCAGGTTCATATCAGTATGTAGTGTCTCTACTTTAAAGAGTCCTCTCCTGCTGATGTTCAGGTGTATATCAGTATGTAGTGTCTCTACTTTAAAGAGTCCTCTCCTGCTGATGTTCAGGTGTATATCAGTATGTAGTGTCTCTACTTTAAAGAGTCCTCTCCTGCTGATGTTCAGGTGTATATCAGTATGTAGTGTCTCTACTTTAAAGAGTCCTCTCCTGCTGATGTTCAGGTGTATATCAGTATGTAGTGTCTCTACTTTAAAGAGTCCTCTCCTGCTGATGTTCAGGTGTATATCAGTATGTAGTGTCTCTACTGGGACATGTCTCCATGCTCTAATGTTCAAAAAGCTCTTTATTTTTCTCATACTGCCTGTGCTGCAGCACCTCTTTTCACCCTCTGTCTGAAACCAGAGCCCAGTCTGCTCTGATTGGTTAGCTGGCCGGCTCTGTTGTGATTGATCAACTGCTGAGAGATGTCCCGCCCCTTAGCTTATCACCTACAATATGTTGGAGCGCTAGCCAATAGAAGCACGAGCGTTACATACTGATGTCACTATGTTAGGAAAGTAAACAAAGGAGTCCAATGGAGGCGGAGAGAAACTCCCTCTGGAGAGAACTTTGGGATTGTAGCCATTGTAGACCATTTACATGCACTAAAACCTATATTACACACTGCAGGAAAAGGGAAAACCCCAAAAGCATAATAGAGCCTCTTGGAGAGATAGGTATTTGCTTGGAAATAAATAAAACAGGGTTTGGTATGAGGAACTTATCAGCTGCAGATGTTTAGTTGCCCTGCCCTTCTCAGAAATCCTGCTTGCATCACCGCTGTTTTCACACTGTCTTATAGTTCCTGCTTTAATCATTAAACCTAAAAAACTTTTTAAAAGTTAGATCTGAGTGATGAAACAAACTCTGCTCTGCGTTTGTTTCCTCCTCTTGTGTGGCAGGAATGCCGGAGACGACCTGGTTGAATTAGTCAATGTTGAACGACGTGACAACAGGACTTGACCTTTCACCTGCTCTCGCCATGGGAACAGTGGGAACAAACACAAACACAAAGTAAACCCCGGACAGGAAGTTCCTACTATTCTGTTTTATGAGAAGAGCAACCGCTTGGCTTCCCCCACAGGGAAGAAGAGGGAGAATAAAGAGGACTGTGTGTGAGCTGCTTGTCTGGTTTAATGATATGAAGTGTCCTCATCGTGTAAATCTCGTTATGTGTCAGTGAAGTAAAGAGAGGAAGCGAGACAGAGGAAACAGCAAACAGCGCGTCTGGGAAGCTCGATGGGAAACAGAAAGACGGCTACAGCTGCACCAGCACGCGGTCAACAGTGTGTACAGTTATCACTAAATAAAGAATGAGAGTATGAATTTCACAGGGGGGGGGGGGGGGGGGGGCGTCTTAAATATGGCAGCATTAAGACCACTGAATGAAATCTATCACTGTGCATGTTTGGGAACTTGAGCTCTCACTAAGTGGAGATAATTAAACTAATAATAAGAATTCATTTATTTTATATAGGCGCCTTTCAAGGCTTCAAGAAACATGAACAAGACAATGCAGTATGTAAACTGACTTTCGTTTGGGAATATTTAAATAAAACGTACTTTTACTCGAGTATTTCCAATTATATATATATATATATTATGTGTCTATACATGTATTTAACATTTTTAGGTACTTTTCTATACTGTTCACACAGAATGCATCCTTGAAAATTAAACTAGGAGTGATTGTTAAAAGTACATTAAAGTAATATAATCATAAATAAGTCAATATTTTTTTGAGAGAGAACTTTGTCTGCAGACCAAAATTAAGGTATAAAGTGAATTCAGATGGTTGGTGATGTTTTCAATGCTGCAAGTAGGGCTGCAACTACTTTACATTATCGGTTAATCTGCCCATAAAATGTCAGAATATAGCAAAAGATAATCCATCCCAGTCTTTGAAGTCGTTTGTCCAGTGTCAGCCAAAAAAACAAAAACATATTAACTTAAAAAGCAGGAAATCTCCACGTTTGAGAGCCTAAAAATACAATGTTATGCCATTAAAAGTAAATCATTAATCATGTTTTATCTGTCAATGGACAATCAAATGTAATAGTTGTGGCAGCTTTGATCCGTTAACCCTGCTTTCCTTTAACAATGCACATTGCAAGGTGTGGTAGCCCCCAACCCCCCCACTCTACTTCGAATGTTGGCTTTGAGGCCTGTGTGAAACATCTTTATAGGAAGTGAGAAAGTCTGGATTTGACACAAAGGACTGTTGCAAGCTTTTTTTAAAGAAATGGTCGCAGTGTTTTAACTACAGTTGGAGCATAGCAGCTTGCTCAATTGTTTAAGTAAAGTTTCCATAAAGTTATACAGTTGGTTTCAAGGCATCAGTTGCCATAGTAACACACACACAGGCTGTGGTCATTCCGGGGCTTTCCCGTGAAACCAACTGATCCAAAATTCCCAGAATTTATGTTAACTTTGTAATCCTTCTCTCCGTTTCAACCCCTTGTGATTTTGCCTGCTGCCTCTTTCCTGTTGTTCCTATTGTTGAGATGACAGCTGGATTTCTCTGGCTTCTCCATTGTTGTCCTAGTTACCGGTTTACGTGTAATCAGAGGTGGGAGAAGTACTCCGATCTTGTACTTCAGTAAAAGTAGAAGTACCAAAGTGTAGGAATACTCTGTTACAAGTAAAAGTCCTGCATTCAAAATGTTACTCAAGTAAAAGTAGAAAAGTATTAGCATAAAAATCTACTTAAAAGTACAAAAAGTAGTAGTAGTTGTTCTGTAGATTGGTCCATTTCAGAATAATATATATGATAATGATTGATCATTAAAGTGTTCTCAAAGCTGGTAAAGGTGCAGCTAGTTTGGATGACTTTGTATACTGCAGGGTAGCTTGTGAATTTAGTCCAGGTGGAACTAAAGTCTGATTTAAGAGTTGAGTATATTTCACATCATTCATCCAGATCTGTGAAGTAACTAAAGGTATATTTAGTGGAGTAAAAGTACATGATTTACACCTGAAATGTAGTGGAGTAGAAGTACAAAGTAGCAAAATATGGAAATACTTTAGTAAGGTAAAAGTCTCTCAAATGTTTAAGTACGGTACTTAAATCTATTTTTTGTTTTTGTTTTTGTACCTCCCTTGTGTGTGTTGTAGTTTGTTGTTGTTGTTGTTGTTTACCTGTGATCCTGCCTGTGGGCTCTCCATGTCCTCTCCTCCTCTGCAGGAGGAAGAAGTCGTTGCTCCTGACGGTCACCCAGAGCTTCAGAGCGTTTTTCAGCAGAACTTCCTCCGGGTTTAGCCACATTTCTTCCCGCAGGAGGGAGCCCCCCCACCGTGTTTACAGCGGCGGTGAGTTGACTCTTGTTCCCCGGATATGGAGCGTCCTGCTCGGCCCTACAGAGGCGGGTTCTCGGGGTTCTCCATGGTTCTCCTGCGGACAGCTGCAGGCTTCAGTCCGCCTCTCGTCTGCTGCCTCACGCCCGATCTGCAGCAGCTGTACACACCACAGAGATCCTCTATTGGAGGCGATGACCCACTCTGGGGTGGAGCAGTAGTTTATAAATAGTTACTCTATTTTTTTATTAACATATAATGTTCTTTTTCATTTTTTAAAGCAGATGTGTGTATCTGTAGTTGCCGAATGATTTAAAGGGCTGTAAGAAAAGGTTTATGTTTAAGAAAATGTATAAAGAAAGCGTAATGAGACAGTATGAAGTTGACTTGATGTGTGATTGTGTTCTGATTTTATGTTTCAGTATTTGTAAGCAACTGTGACTGAAAGAATATTGCTTTTATTTTACTTTTTTATGGTTATTATTCTGTTTTGTTTTTGTTTTTTAAGAAGGGGCAGGTCAAATAAGATGTTCTTCTCCCTGCTCCTTTCCACCACGCGCTATAAAAAAAAAACAGTATAAGTGTACATGTGTTGTAAAGTGTACATGTTTTGTTTTAAAATAACTGCCATGTGTGGAATAAATAAATAAATAAATACACCCTAACCGTTACTACATACTGTACATGTCACATGTCACATGTCACAATTACATATTAATAAATGTTTCTTATTGTTATAAATCCCTTCAAAAATATTTTAGAAAATAGTTTTCAACCCCAGAATCAGAACAATGCTTTTTTATATACATATTTCCATTTTGGCAAGAAAAGCTTTTATTGCAGTTATTGTGCACAAAGATGTGGTTCCTTGAAAACAGAGACAGAGTGAGAGCTCTTCGTTTTTATTATATTTCTCTTCCGCATTTCACCGACTTTCTCTTCCTGTAAATATTCACTAGCCCTCTTGTGATTGGCTGTTCAGCTGACACAATGCTCAGGTGCTCAGGACTGTAGTTATCACACAAAAGCTCATTGTCTATTTACTATGTTTGCACATTTATCACACGACTACCTCTTTTAAAACCGCACAGTTATACCAATTTGAAATGTATATATACTGTACATATTATGTTACAGTAATTTGACATGTGCTTAATGTATTTTTTTCTCTATATTTGTTGTGAACATGTGTTTGTTTTTTACAATAAGTTTTATAATATGTATTTATTTGCTCTTGTTGTACATGTTGTTTCTATTACATTGCTTATGTATGCTTTAATTCACACCAAAGCCCATGTGTGTGTTTAAGATAAGATAAAATAAGATTTGCTTTATTGATTTATTAAATAATCACTTTATTGATCTCAATTTGGGATTTATTTGGTATTAATTGAATAAACCCAATTCTGATGACACATTCAGACCATCCATTATTAGGACTGAATAAGAGGAATCTAAATGTCCTGTTATCAACGGCTCCTGACAACTCAATGGCAAATTAAACAACATATAACAGTAATTAAATAAAACTAACTTACATTCTGTTCTTAATGGCTTTTACCTGATGTAGTGTATTATCTAGAGGGATTTATTTGCTAAAGAGCAGAGAATAATTAGATTAGACCTATTAATCAAGATGACCCAATCTGGAAACCAACAAATCAAAATACAGTGAATAAAGAAATCGAAATACAGCTGAATGTCAATTCTAATAGTCAGCATTTAGCCTTTAGACCGACAGAGGATTTCCTTATGTGAATACAAGAATCAATCATTGTCTAGTCTTAAAGACAGGAAATGCAACAATGGGAAATAGAATGAAAGCTCTGTGGTTTTCTGAGATGTTACTTCTCAATCTTTGAAAAATCAAAAAGCAGAATATCTCGTTAAACACTTGGCAATGAATCCCTTATTGTCAAAAGTTGTGTTCAATGGCATCAAAACGATAAAAACGCTGCTGAAGGTTAATCCAATGGTTAATCCAATAGTTAATCCAATGGTTAATCCAATGGTTAATCCAATGGTTAATCCAATGGTTAATCCAATTTTTAATCCAATGGTTAATCCAATGTGTCTGTGTCACTTTGAAATTATTCCTGATAATCCATCTTCATATTTACTAGTTTGAGCCTAGGTTTCAGTTTTCAGTTTTCAGAGCGTAACATAGCTGTCGACTGCGTTTTCGACACACTCACTCCTCAATGGTAATGTGTGTGTGTGTGTGTGTGTGTGTGTGTGGAACTTCCCCTTCGATTCTATTGGCTCTAACGGTTCAAAAGAGATGTCAATCACCAAAATCGACCAATGGGTTCCAGAGAACCGGCAAATCCACCCAAATGACCCCAAAGGTGGTTTCTTTTGTTGCTAAATCTCTCTAAAAAGGTCACATGTCACTTGTTTTGCATCAATCTTGATACAGGGTACTTATTATATGTTATAGTTTGGATTCCTAAAGCTTTTAGTCTACTATCCCATCATTCAAGGGTGGTTTTCACTATAAGTAATGTTTTTTTTTTTGGACGGACACTAATTTACATTTAGTTCAATCTGAATTTACTTTAAAATAAAAAAATTCTATATTGATTCTGACACTTCTACATCCAACTCACAGGTTTATCATTGCTTTGAGAAAAAAGATTATTAATTTACCCCTTTTAGAAGTTATAGTCATTTGTTCTGGGAATGTCATTTTCGAGCCTGAGACCTGAAAAACAGGCTCGGGGCTTAACTGGTTATTGTACAGCAACAGTTTTAAAGTCTGTCAACACCATTACGAGATATAACGTACGTTTTCAAACAACCTTTCACGTGTGTAAGCTCAACATCATATACCAGCCAATAGTGTCCATGGCTTAATTAACCAATTAGGGGTCATAATTAGTGAAAAGAGTCACTGTTTGGCGTCTGTTGACCCTCCCTCTGAAATGCACACTGCACACTCTGTCCTGTATGTCTTTGGTACAATAACTACCATCACTCAAATACCACTTCCTGGCTCATGCCCCCATGTTCGTTGCCTCTTATCATTTCATTTAACATCATTCTATTTGCTAAATATATATACTCATTGTGCTTGTGAAAAGTATAATGAGTAAGAAGAGGAATTAGAAAAAGAGGAAGTTGAGCAAGTGAAACTGGCAGGAGCTTAAATTAGATTTCAACGACGTGTGTCGCAGATTTCACATGAAGACCGTCCTCATGGCTTCACATCAATGATAACTTTATGTTTTAATTCAAACAATATACCACATCCATCTCAGTCTTATTTGTATGTGCGTTTAGTCTGTAATCGTCCTTTTTCTTATGGATAGTTTTAAACAATTGGTTAATTAATGGTTACAGTCGTACACTGTAAGTACTGCACTGCAATTATGTCATTTTACCTGCATTGTTAGATACTATATTATCCATCATTTTACATTTGGAGAGTTAATGTTACTTATTACTCCATTAGATTCACTTAACTGTTATGTTTCAAAGTATACATGGTAAGAATACACATGTTGTTCATAAAGAAAAGCTGATTGTGTGTTGGAGTTTTACTTCAGATAAGCACAATACAGTCACACTCCGAAAAGGAAATCTGTTTATAGAGTAATGATAAGAACTGGTTTTCAATTTGGTTTTCACTTTGATGTGGTTGTCTTTGCTACACCTCATATCTAGATTTGTTTCGAGTTGAGCAACCCACTTCAACCCACTACAATTTATATATTTGTAATAATACATTGGAGTGACACATACTTTTGAAGGCACTTCTTCCTTAACCATATTTATATACACCAGTAGACAACGTGAGTGAGTGTGTGTGTGTGTGTGTGTGTGTGTGTGTGTGTGTGTGTGTGTGTGTGTGTGTGTGCGTGCGTGCGTGCGTGCGTGCGTGCGTGCGTGCGTGTGTGTGTGCAGCAGCACCTGTTTGGTTTCTTGCTCAGCTGCAGCCACAAATGGAATGCTGCGCTCTCGCTCCTTATATGGTCACATCGAGCGTCAAAAGGAAGTTGGTGTCACTTCTATTATTGTCCGACCTATAATGCGTAATGTTCCTCCTCTTTTAAAACATGGCTAACCAAGCTCTAGCAGCACAAAAATACATATTTAAAATACAGATTGTTCTTGAATTACATTCTGAAAAAATAACACGGACTTTATTTTAATCCTGGAAGAAGAGTGAGTTAATTTGAAACAGTGGTAGCTTTTTGTTTCTACCCGAACACTCCTTTCTGTTTCCGGGTCTGAGAAGACAGCCGTGGTGTGATTTCAGAGGAAGCTGTTATCTGACAAAATGCAGGTTTGTAACTCTTCTTTAAACCTTTAAACGCTGTGGTTTGTTTTTGGTGAATGTGGCGCGTTAACATCGGTTGATGTCGAAGTTGTGTGTGGAGAAAATGTAAGAGTTTTTAAATTTATTTAGCTTTAGCAGTGTAACTGGGCGTATCAGCTGTTTAAATGTTAGCTTTAGCTAGCTAAATGCTAATATCACCATTTAGTTTCCTGTATTTTACACTCTATTTTATCTTTTTATTATTTTCCTGTCATTTTATGTATCTTTTCGCACTGTCATTCATGTGTTTTACTCTGTAAAGCCCACTGAGAAACTCATGTGTCTTGTGATATTGAGATTCTTTGTTTTGATAACCCGATTGGAGGTCAGCTAGAAGTGTAACTAATCACCATTTTATCAAACATGTGGTTATTATAAACGTTAATATTCCATAAGAGGCCATTTCATGTCAGTGGAAATGTCCCAGGCTTTTTAAAATGAGTCGATAGTCTACAGATATTTCAGACAGTCTACAAAATGTAAAAAAAATATATATGTAGAAAGAAAGCTAAACTGCTTTTTGTCTGACGAAGGCTAATCCATAGCGTCATTACTTAGAGCTGAAATGTACATCCTGAAATACAGTCTGAGTCATGCCTAACATGACTTTACCTACACGTGAGGTGTATTCCCTGGAGCTCTGACCACAGTAGATAAGGAGGATTTCAGGGGTTTAAACAGAATATATGCAGGGTTCTTACGGTCATTAAAAACCTGGAAAAGTTATGGAAATTCAAAATGCTAATTCCAGGCCCTGGAAAAGTTATGGAAAACAATATTTTCCCCAAAGTTTTGGGAAAGTCATGGAAATGTAACTAAAGTTGCATCAAAGATCATTTATATTTGATCTAATCACCGAAATAGTAATACTATAATGATAATAAATACTGTATCGTATAGTAATGAAACGTAAAATGGCATTTAACTGACGAGGTATTTTGCTGGTGAGAGATTTTAGTTGCTTTAGCGTGTAGAAGCTAGTAAGCCTATTTGATTTGTTTTAGATAGGCACAACATGTTTCAGACCTTATTTTCCTGTTCCATGTTCAAATAAACCATTTTCAGTGGTACCGCTGAGAAAGAGTAATTTCTTTGGTCATGGAAAATTAGGTAAAGGTCATGGAGAAGTCATGGAAAAGTCATTGAAAAAGTGTATGACCCCTTTATATAGTTTAGCTTGCAGCCCCTACCATCCATCAATCTACTAATTTCTTTCTAGGCGGTTAAATCTCGCTCCGCATTGCTGTTGTAGGCAGAGCACTCTAAACGTTTACCTAGTCACTTCCAATACCCCCAGCAGGTTTAGACACAATCATATGTTTACTTTTTCTTTCTGTCAGTTAGTTATTTTCGTGTGTGGCCATCCAACTACCAAAAATTCGTTTTCTTTGGATTCTTGAAAACTAGCAGATTTCAGTTTTGAAATCATCTTACAAACATAACATATCCAAGCCAAAGGTATCCCAGAATAAGAGTAACAGTCGTAATTGCTTTGTTTTTTCTACAGGACCCAAATGAAGACACGGAGTGGAATGATATCCTGAGGAAGAAAGGTGTCCTTCCTCCCAAAGAGGTCCCTAATGATGCCGAAGAGGAGGAGGAACTGGCCCGCCAGCAGCGGTCTATCGGTAAGAGAAGAACTTGGAATATATATGTTACCTTAGAAAACATGATTTTTAAAGTGTCCTTCAATAGGCGTGTGGTGCGGATCAGGGGGTCACAGGTTCAAACCCCACTGCAGTCAGCATGTCGTTGTGTCCCTGGGCAAGACACTTCTTCACCCCAAATTGCTCCTGTGGGGATTGTCCACAGTATTGAGTATGTAAGTCGCTTTGGATAAAAGCGTCTAACATGTAATGTATTACAACGTACTGTGAAAACGTACAAATGAAAATCATGTGAATTAGATCAAATATGATATTTCGATCACTAGTGTGCTCTAATTAAACCACTGATCAAGGAACTTACAGGAACACGCAAGCATGAGCACATCACCCCAATTCCGGCTTCCCTCCACCGGCTTCCCTCCTCTGGCTTCCCTCCACTGGTTTCCCTCCACTGGCTTCCCTCCTCTGGCTTCCCTCCACTGGCTTCCCTCCTCTGGTTTCCCTCCACTGGTTTCCCTCCACTGGCTTCCCTCCACTGGCTTCACTCCACTGGCTTCCCTCCACTGGCTTCCCTCCACTGGCTTCCCTCCTCTGGCTTCCCTCCACTGGCTTCCCTCCTCTGGCTTCCCTCCTCTGGCTTCCCTCCACTGGCTTCCCTCCAATGGCTTCCCTCCACTGGCTTCCCTCCACTGGCTTCCCTCCTCTGGTTTCCCTCCACTGGTTTCCCTCCACTGGCTTCCCTCCACTGGCTTCCCTCCACTGGCTTCCCTCCACTGGCTTCCCTCCTCTGGCTTCCCGTCCATTTTAGAGTTCATTTTAAAATGTTATTATTTGTTTTTAAATCGCTCAATAGGCTGGCCCCTCTACATACCAGCAGGCTGATCAGCTGCTGCTGGTAGTCCCTAAAACCAAGACCAGGGGAGACCGAGCGTTCTCAGCGGTAGCCCCCAGGCTCTGGAACGACCTGCCCCCCCATGTCAAATTGTCGCCCACCCTCCAAACGTTTAAGTCCCGCCTAAAGACCCACCTCTTTTCCCATTTGTATGCTTTTATTGTCTGTCCACAGCTTTTATGTACCTTTTATCTATTCTTATGTATTATAGTAATATTATCTTTTATTATAATGTTATGTTTGCTGTGAAGCACTTTGGTGAACCCTCTGTTTTTAATATGCGCTATAGAAATAAAGTGGATTGGATTGGATCACTAAGGGTTAGAGCCTTTTCAGAACATGTGATGAACTGCTGTTACTGTCGTGTCTCTGATAGTGAAAACATACGAGGACATGTCGCTGGAAGATCTGGACGAGAACGAAGATGAGTTTGGTGAGGAAGACGAGGCTGCCATTGAAATGTACCGGTGAGTAGAGATTGGAGCAATAATGTGTATTATACTGTTACTCTGTGTGAAATGTCTTCTCAAGACTAGTGCATGTGAAAATGCAAACCTGCAAACTGGATTTGGCTTCATACTTATATGTTCGTCCCACAGACAGAAGCGTCTCTCAGAGTGGAAAGCGACTCAGCTGAAGAACGTGTTTGGAGAGATGGTGGAGATCTCCGGGCAGGACTACATCAAGGAGGTCAACAAGGCTGGAGAGGACATCTGGGTGGTGCTGCACCTCTACAAGCAGGGGTGGGTTCTTCAAACAAAGACAAGGACTCGTACAAGAAAATATTGGGAGTTATTTCTTGATGCTTGTGTCTTGTTCGGGTGAACCCTTTTAGACCGTGGAAAAGTCTAGTGTGAATCATTTCCTGTCCGACACAGCTCTTAATATCAGGATTCTTTTTCTTTTCAGTGAGTCATTTTTAGAGTTGCACAAGAGCAAAACTTAAACCCTCACCTCCTTGCATTTTAAATATTGCTTTTTGCGAAGTGATAGATTTATTGATTCACACAAAACAAAAGGTTTTAGCATCAATTATTTCTTAAAGTCAATTATCAAGCACAAATGTGATATTTTCTTATTTTCCATGTCACTGTAACTGGAACATATACCTATTTGGACTGGTTGATTAAACAAAATGAGCAGTCAAAAATAATTAGTTTTTTCTCAAAATGTTGGCTTTTTTCTCAAAATCTCAAAATTCTGACTTTTTCAAAAAAGTCTCAAAATTCTGACTTTCTCTCAAAATAAAAAACTCTTGACTTTTTCTCAAAATTCAGGGGGAAAAAAATGTTGTTTTTCTGAAAATCTCAAAATTCTGACTTAAAAAAAAAATCTCACATCTGATTTTTTTCCTCAATTCTGACTTTTTCTCAAAATTCTGACTTTTTCTATTTTTTTTTGACTTTTTCTAAAGATTCTGACTTTTTCTCAAAAATATGACTTTTTATCTCAAAACCTAAAAATTCAATGTTTACTTCAGATTAGCTCCACGTCAGAAATGATCATGCTTGTCATATGTCTATCTCCATAGAGGCTGAATCATCATGTTAATCACATAGCTATCATATGCCTAAAACAGTCCTGATGCTCTTCTAGGTAATCATACATCCTGTCATGTTCACAGCTACAGTTGGGATACCTTTGTTATCATGTTACTCTCATATTGGAAGAGTACAGTCAGTATTTTCCCAACACTTTCTAATTGTTCTTCTCCTCTCCCAGCCTCCCTCTGTGTACGCTCATCAACCAGCACCTGTCTGTGTTGGCCAGGAAGTTCCCTCAGACCAAGTTCCTGAAGTCCATCTCCACCACCTGCATCGCCAACTACCCCGACCGCAACCTGCCCACCATCTTTGTGTACCGCGAGGGCGACATGAAGGCGCAGTTCATCGGGCCGCTCGTCTTCGGGGGCATGAGCCTCAAAGTGGAGGGTAGGAAGACACTCGCTTACAGAAAAAGTTCCAGGACATTAGAGAAGCATTTAAACCAATAATATACTGGGTTCAACTTTAAATGTTTTTAGAATCGTTGAGTGTCAGTGTGACTGAAATAAAGGGTCTTGGATTTGTCATCTCAGCAGATTCAGATGTTAATAGTGTTAGCAAAAACTAAATATATATATTTCGTTATATTTTATTATTTTGTGTTTTTGTTGCACATTCTTACTTAAACTTTTATCTTTATATACATTTTTTTATCCTTTTTTTAAAGGTCCCATGTCATGCTTTTCTGGTTATTACCCGTCCCCTTGTGTGTTATGAAGGTTTTTCTGCATGTAAACGGTCTGCAGAGTCACAAACCCTCAAAGTACACCCTGTAGCGAGTAAAACTCTAACACAGAAAAGACCTGTCTATGCTGCCCCAGAACGCCTCGTTGGAGATTTCTCTTTATCTTCCTGGGTACAGTGACATGCCCATACCCAAATGGACCCATTGGTCCAAATGGACCAATCCGTGGAGCCGTTACGTTACGTCCGCGGAGCCGTTATATTTGGACCAATCTGCGGACTTCCTCACACACACACACACACACAATCTTTTCTCAGCTGCAGCTCCGCCGATTTCTCCTCCCTGAGACGGCGGGACGCGGCGAGGCTGTGAGTCGGTGTGTGAGCACACACACAAACTCCCAGCCAGGCTGCGGGTGTGTGTGTGTGTGCTCGGGCTGGGTTTCGCTGTGTCTCGCTGTGTCTCGCAGACGGCCACTGGGCTCATAGGGAGGGGGGGCAGGAGCTCCAACAAGCCGTGTAGGACAGAGAGTGAATACACATACTATACAGAGATGCTGTATGAGAAACCAATGAGATGACCAATGAGACCAATGAGATTTTGGAACATTGAACAATGTAAATGTATTTTAGTAGACCTCAACAATGGAATTATGATCAGTAGAAATGGCCATGACATGGGACCTTTAACATTCTATAGTTTATTCTAAAATGGAGAAATTGTCACAAACCCACATTTCCCCTGTGATAATTAAAGTTTTCTGATTCATTTACACAGTTATTGCTGTTTTTAATCTTTTGCATTTTATTCTAAAAATGTTTAGTCCTTCGAAGAAAAATGACATTCTTTCAGTCATATTTTAATCTTTTAAGTGTTGCAGATTTACTCAGACAATTCGGACAAACAGCCACATCCTGTAAATGTCATCCTATTCCATTTGATTGATCTTATCTTTGTCCTGTGTGCGTCCTCAGAGCTGGAGTGGAGGTTATCGGAGTCCGGCGCCGTGAAGACAGAGCTGGAGGAAAACCCACGGAAAGAAATCGAAGACAAGCTGATGTCATCGATCAGAAGTTCGCTTCCTTCCCGAAAGGACAGCGAATCTGAGGACGAGGACTATTAAGAAACAAACGTTTATCGCTCCAGAAACGCTGTGTGGGAAACGCTCAGAGGACCTTCAGCAGAGAGGGGGAGCGTCTCCTTCATCAGCAAATACATTTCATATTAAACCATGTGGGTGGATGTTGAACTCCTGCTGGAGGGCACTTGGCTGGACCTTTGACCTATGACCTTCTGTTGAACCACACAGCCTCCTGTACATTTCCTCGGTGGGAAACCCATTTTGTAATCTGGAATAAACATCCGACTGAATATTTACAAACGCGTCAAAGACAAATTGTAACTTTTTTATTACGTTTTCATGATAATTATGTCACAAAATGTACCTGTACATTTAAATCTGTTGAATTAAATGTGAGTTCAGCTCTTTGCCACAATCATCTGTGCCATCTTTTTCCCTTAATTCTCTTTTTTTGGGTTATTTGTGTGACTGTTATTGTTTGTTTGTATTCTGCGTACCCATGTGTTGTGTAACTGTGCAACAATTAGTGTTTGGTAGCGCCCCACATCATCGACTCGCAGACATTTGGAAGCAGGCAGACACATGGTGGAGCAGTTTCTATGTTTTCCAGCTGTACAATCATTTATTTTCTGTTATCAAAAAGTAATTTCTCTGTCATCGATGGAGCACGTTGCTCCGTCCGTAGATTCAGATTTAGTCGGCATTCCTGTTTGTAGATTATTCTTCTACAGCATATCCTCCGGCAGACCTCGAATCTTCATCAGGAAGAAATAAGAAAGGTCAGTTAATTGAATCTGAACTGTGATGTAATTTAAAAAGATTAACGCTGGTTCTCTTAATCGATTAACTACTCCTTTGCTTCCTGGAAAGGGTGACTTCTAGTAAACAGAAGATAAATAGGCAAGAAACTTTGTTTAAATTTTCTTCCTACGAAACCTTTGTCTAACCTTCCACTCTCATTACGAAGAGCACCGAGCCTTAATATTCATAAAAAATACTGTTACAAATATGAAAAAAAGGACAAAAGTTGCATGAAAGTATTCAGTGTTGCAGTTTCAGGTTGTTACTGCCTGGACAAGTTCTTGCAACTTTAAACCAGGTAAGGCAAACATGCATGTGATCAGAAAGCCCCCTGACATATTAACATACATCTGAGAGTTAAAGAACACTATGTACCGTCAAAATCATAAAGAAATATAACAGGAGGACATTTACTCGATAAACGTGGTGCTGAGGCATTAGCTAGCGAATTGTAGGCAAGGAAAAGGGGCGGCTGTGGCTCAGTGGATAGTGTGCTGGACTTCGAATCAAGGGGTAGCAAGTTCGAGTCCCACTGCAGTCAGCATGTCGTTGTGTCCCTGGGCAAGACACTTCACCCTAAATTGCTCCTGTGGGGATTGTCCACAGTACTGAATGTATGTAAGTCGCTTTGGATAAAAGCGTCTAACAAATGACATGTAATGAAAAGGATCCGAAGTCGAGGTAAGATCGTCGTTCTTCCAATAATCTAACATCCAACAGAACAATGACAACCAGTTTTACTATAAATTGCCCTGTTTCCCTTTCCTTTGGCTATCCCACCTCCACCTGTCTCCCAAATAAATACCCAATCACCCAAAGCTGCCTTCAGAATGAAAGCATAAACAACTGCTTTAACTAAAGGAATTACACTAACTAATGTACTATAAACAAAAACAGCAAGAAATTAAATGTTAAAGGTGGAGTAGGTAATTCACTTCAGAAACACTTTTTGTTATATTCCATGGAATGCTCTTAACATCCCGATAGCAATGAATACATTAAATGCTTTGACAATAAATACATTAAAAACTGTCATCTGTGGAAGCCGTAGCGCTGTAAAAAGCACGACCAATCATCTGAGCCGGCCCGGGTCAAATAACTGGATGGCCTACCTGCCTGTCAGCCTTCCATCTGTGCACAAACTTATCTCGTGCCCTCATTGGTCATGTGCGCGTTCGTGTGTGTTGGAGGAGGGGCTCTGTAAGGAAGTCTGAAGGAAGGGGCAGATTTTTTTCGGCTGCGTACTTTCAAATTCTAGCGCACTCGAGCTGGTTTCTCCATTCTTCTTACCTACCCTACCTTTAACCTATCAAATAATATAAACTAATGTATACCTTCAACACTATATGTATGTATGTATGTGTTTCTTACCAAAAGCACCATGTTCTTCTTCCTCCTGAGTTTGGGGAAAAGCCTCATCAGAGGATGAACTGAGTGAGACTGGAGGAGCAAAAAGGAGAGGGAATTTAGAGAGGAATATCCAGATGACAGAAAGCTTTGGCTTCTTTTATAAAAACGATATCTAAGTAGAAGGCAAAAAGTAAGGATGTGGTGTCAGTAGTGAAACACGGATAAAGTATTGACACTGTAAAACAAATCTCAGCCTACAAATGACACTTAAACTCTAAAAAGATGTTTGAATTCCTGAATAATGAGAAAAAATGTGTGTGATGATTCAGCTTTTGGCTCCTTTTACACAAACTAGTCATTTTGAAAGGTGATTTAACATTTCAAACAGGAAATTTGATATTTTCTATCTTTGTTTTAAACATTTTTAGATACTAGATCTCTTAAATACATCATGTCTTATTTGTTAAAAAAAATCACCCATGCAAAAAGTAAGTGGAAATGGGTCAAATGAAAGCAGTAATGTTGACATTTTTAGACATAATGATTAAAAAGATCCTCCTACCATTTGCTTGCTGTCTCCTCTGGAGAGCACAGGGTGCTGCATAGCTCCGATAGAGTTGCGTGCTTTAGAGTAATGAAACAGGAACTGAAAAAGGGAGAAGATTGAGACGTCAGTATGTGCTGCTGCTGCTGCTGAAAAATATCAGAAATAACCAATCAGAAATAAGCAGAACTGAGAAGGAACACTTACTCTTTTAAACACTTTCTGGTCTTGCTCCTGTGGGGAAACAATTCAGATTATTCACATGGTGTTCATAGCTTAGATATTTCTGATAGTTGCATAAAGTACAAATAAGTGACACACCAATCGAACTCCTGTAAATTCAGATTTTAATGCAATGTAAAAATCAATAAAAATGTTCCATAATAAGAACATAAGAAGCCACTTTCAGAGGACATTTTGTCACATGTTGATTCAACAGTGTTCAACTGTAGTGTATATTGATAGTGGTGTTGCATAATTGAGTGTTGCTGTTGATTGGTCCATCACAAATAAGAGGTTTAAAAAAAAAGATTTAAATGGACTCCAGTTTATCACAAGATATTGTATTTTGCTTTGTTCATTTTTACGATGTGTCATTGCCAATGCTTCTAACACTGCAAACAGTTAAATACTTATAAAGTAGTTTGATAATTAAGATTGTTTTAAGATGATAAACTGAGACTTCTGTTTGAAGTTATAAGTCCGTTTTTGATTTGATGTATGAAGGCGAGCTGTCAGTTGTGAAGTTCTACAGATAAAATGTTGTTAAACTGCGATGAAGCTCATTATACCATGGATGGGAAATGTGTTACTTGAATGTTGACATAGACTATAATGTTGTATATCTGAGAAACATTACAAAATACTGCATATTTTTACCTCATCCTGATCTCCCCATAAAACATCACTCAGATCATCGCTCTGGATGTCTCGCACCTGCAGAGAAACAACAACTCCAATATGAATTCTTATCAACAACACATTATTTCAGTCTCACTTCTGAGTGCAGCTTCAAATAATAAAAGAAATCTGAGGATTGGATCTGGATTTATAAGCAGATGTTTGATTTATGAACTTATTTTTGATCCAGAATATTATCATTAAAACAGATCTTAGATGATAACAGTGAAATATTTCTGGTAACATCTGACAAGTAGACAAAGTAAAGCTCCATGGTTTCTTCAGTTGCTCTTTTCTTAACCAGATTCCACTCTGTTTTTAACTTTTCAGAATAAACTGTTATTACTAACTTTTAATTTACATGGTATAAGATGTTTACATTTTGTTATTTGTACACTGGCCTATCATAGTGTACACTGACTTTAATGCTGTATATTTATATTGAGCATTCAATAGATAGTCTCTATGTATCTCTCACTGTCTATGTGTGTATTGTATTGTACTGTATCTTATTAATGATTCATAATTCAAATGATTAGTTAATTAAACAACCTCCTTTTTTTAACTCACAACCCTGAAATTAACGTTTTATTATCTAGAACCAAAGAAGGCTGATTAGAAATTTAAAAAAAACATGCACTAACTTGTCAAAAAGTATTAAAGGTGGGTAGGTCATTTTGTAGAAACCAGCTCGAGTGCGCTAGAATTTGAAAATACACAACCGAATCTGCCCCTTCCTTACAGAGCCCCTCCTCCAACACACACGAACGCGCACATGACCAATGAGGGCACGAGATAAGTTTGTGCACAGATGGAAGGCTGACAGGCAGGTAGGCCATCCAGTTATTTTAGCCGGGCCGGCTCAGATGATTGGTCGTGCTTTTTACAGCGCCACGGCTTCCACAGATGAATTTTTTAACGTATTTATTGCCAAAGCATTTAATATATTCATTGCTATCGGGATGTTAAGAGCATTCCATGGAATATAACAACAAGTGCTTCTGAAATAAATTACATACCCCACCTTTAATGTTGTATAAATTACATTTTTGGACGAAGATATTCCCTTACCTTTCTTAACTCTATCCCGTCTTCCCACTGATCGAAAACACTGGCATCTGTGAGGAGAGAAAATGTGAGAAAATGAATAAAACATTTCTGTGGAAACGTAGTGACATCACTATTGGCTAGCGCTCCGACACATTGTACGTGATAGGCTAAGGGGCGGGACATCTCTAAGCAGTTGGCCAATCACAACAGAGCCGGCCAGCTAACCAATCAGAGCAGACTGGGCTCTGGTTTCAGACAGAGGGTGAAAAGAGGTGCTGCAGCACAGGCAGTATGAGAAAAATAAAGAGCTTTTTGAACATTTTACATCAAAAATATCTTTGACTTTTGTGTCTTTGAGCAGGTGTTTCTGCCAATACTTTATCAAGTCACTATGCATGAGGTTTATAAATAATTTTAAAGGCTTTAAATACTTCTTCTGACACTGTGTTAAGTGAAAGGTAGATGTATTTAATTGGTTATGTAACTACAGTAACACTTTAAAGAGCAAGAAATAGTTCATTCATAATAATCTTATTTTATAATAATAATAAAGCTTTGTCTAAGCTTTTTGAGTCATAATGAAGATCCTTGTACATTTGGATCAAATATAATTTAGTTTATTTTCTACATATGTACGCATATGCACTGTAGATGTATAAATATAAATGAGTAACCTTTTGTTAAGGACATCAACAAACTGACCTGCTGGCATGTTACAATAGCCTCATTAATTATTAATAATTAATGAGGCTATAATTTGAATCATACCCCAAATCATGGTTTAGTTCAATAATAATGCAGTCATAAATGTTTCTTCTTTTTCAATCATCCTTCACATATGTAGTTCTTATTTCGTCCTACTGTACTTTGAACGTAAAAGAGCAAAAATTATTCATGGATCAAAAAAGAATTTATTAATTTGATACATGACGCAATAAAAATAATAAATACATTAGTTAGAGGTCACCTATCATGCTATTTGTAGGCAATAGCATAGGTCTCAGATATATAAAAATATATAAAAAACATGTCTATGAAGTGTTTAGCTCAAAATACCAAACAGATCACCCATTCTAGCCATGCCTCACATCCCTCTATTTCACTTCCTGTTTCAAAAGTGCTGATTTGGGGTATAAAGCTTAAAAAAGGAGGGTTCTGAGCTCATGCGGGACCCGGCAGCTACTGTCTAAACTAAATACTGCCGTGATGAAACGCCATATCATGGATTATCAAGGATTATTTCTGAAACAGTATGGAGCTCAAAGGCTTTCTCTCTTGCCGGTTATACCACAAGGTGAGTTCCTTTTTACTTCCTGCTTCTTCACACACATGCTCTCCAGTACAGGTTAGCTCTGAGTGTTAGCGATGCTAATGTAAACACCGACCATATTACGTCCAAAACAGTCGGGCATTGTTTCTGATAGCAACGTTTCTGATAGGGCCGTGGGTCCACATTTCAGATATTACGTCATATCGGACGCAAATCTGGATCAACTCCGTTGCAGCCCCGTTTTTAGAGATTTGGGTACGGAGGTAAAGAGAGAGGGTTTTATTTTCTGACGCTGCGTGAGTTCCCTGACACACCGGGGACACATATTTATGTATAAAAGACATCAAAAAGTGCATTTTGCATGATAGGTCCCCTTTAATTATTATCCACTTATCCATTAATGAAGTACATTAAGTAACTTTATATATACTTTGTATTCTGTATGGTTTCATCTCCTATTATCCCTATGATGGAAAAGCTACATATAGTTTTCTATAATGAGCCCTTTTAGACCTAGATGTGTTTAAGAAGTGACTCCAATGAATCGTTTTTGCCCTCATCATTTAGAGGGTATTTGTTATTTACAATTACTGACACAAACAAACTCTCACTCCTTATAATATATCCTCCCCTGTTATCTCTATGATTAATAACTTCTATACATTCATAATAATACGCTGTAACGTTGCCCCTTTTTGCCCCAGATGTATATAAAGAGTCAATCCAATTGATCTTTTATCAGGCTATATTTTTATTTCTTGCATTTACACAATATTAGCATTTGAATTGAGTCACGCTTTCAAACTCAATATCAAATATAATCATCCACTTGTTGTGCTCCAGCACCCAAGAAACCAGAATAAACACTCATTTACAATGCATGTATTTACTATTTATAATATCTGTATCTATCTATATCTGTCCAAACCCTGCACCTTATATTTGTTCTTTGAAATATTGAAAACGAATGCGCTTTATTACTATTTACACTTTGTGGTTGGAAGCAAACTGTATTTCGTTGCAATGACAATAAAGTTGAATTTAATTGAATCTAATCTAAACATAAAGGAAACCAGACTAAATATAAACAAACTCTGATACTTTATAGTATTTGATCTCCTGTTGTGTGTGTGTGTGTGTGTGTGTGTGTGTGTGTGTGTGTGTGTGTGTGTGTGTGTGTGTGTGTGTGTGTGTGTGTGTGTGTGTGTGTGTGTGTGTGTGTGTGTGTGTGTGTGTGTTTTGTGTTTAAATGAGTGAATCCAATACATGTGTACTGACCTGAGTACAGGTTAGTTGTTACTTACATTTAACCTTTGTGTTGTGTTCGAAAGCTGTTACCGTTCATGGTGTTCGCGGGTACATTTTGACCCATGATTTATCTCAGTCCAAAACACTCACAAATAATGACTATCATCCAATATTCTTTTAACTACATCATAACTAACCTATTATGCATTCATAACCGTACAGTCCTGTTGTAATTTTATTGTATGCCCCCAAAAAACATATTTAAGTAAAACATGTGATTAAATTAACTCATTATATTTCCTATAGTGAAGACAGTGGATCATTACGTTATCTGACTATAATAGACAATTAGAATACAATCTCCCCAAAGTTTTAAATTATTGTTGCAGTGGATGAAGGGGGTGGGGGAGGGGTGTCTAAAGTCAAAGATGAATCTTGATTGGGCCAAATTTGACCCAGAGTCACCCAAAACAATGCTGCTGGGTCTCCCCAGACCCGACCACCAAATTATACACTTTTTTTTTTTAGAGACCTTCAGACTTGGCTAAAATTGTCAAAATCAGTTTTGTAGTGTTGATATATCTGTTGTGGAGGATATCATGAAGCCTTGTTCCGAAAAAAAAACTAGAGCGTAGTTATTATATCATTTTAACTTGAAACGGGTCATGGGAGACCCGAACACAACATAAGGTTTCAAATGACATAAACAAACCATAGTATTTCATCTCCTATTATCCCTATGACACTCTTTGTAATGCTGCACTTATTTGCCCCATAATGTGTTAAAGAATACATATTTTTTTACCTCATGATTTACAGGTTATTTATTACTTTCATGAACACAATTTTAGCATTTGAATTGAGTCGCTCCATGCTTACAAAGTCAAAAAATATAAAATATAATCACTCACCTGTTGTGCTCCAAGATCCAAGAAACCAGAATAAACATAAAAGAAAAAGTTGTCTGACAGTCGGCAGAGGCATCTCCTCTTCCTTTTCCTCTCTTTTACGCTTGTCTGTTTGGAGAGGATGTTCCTGATGTTGCACGGCTGCTTGTTTTAGTCTCTTCTCCGTCTTCGTCTTCTGTCCTGGTGGATCTCTACCAGCTTTATGTGCAGCAGATCTTTAAAAGCACACTGTCTCATGCAGGCATCCCCCTGTGAGCAGAGGTGACCAATCACACGATCCGGCCATCAGCACACCCGCTTGCGCACATCCAACCCACACACACACACACACACACACACACACACACACACACACACACACACACACACACACACACACACACGCACACACACACACACACACACACACACACACACGCACACACACACACACACCCACACCCACTTTTCTGGGAATACTACTGCACGGGGAATACTCGGGTGTTCTGTTTTTTGTTACTGATTTGTTTTTCTCAAACACACTGTGTGCTGATGGAGGATATGAGCGGGATCTCCGTCCGCTTGAGAGGGAAATTGATGATTAATAATAAAAAAAAATGTGTCACAGTGATGTTTACTAGGACTACTATACTAATAAATCATTAAGTGATGGAGAGGGTGAGTCACTTTTGTTTTTTTGACTCATGCAAAAAGCTTTTATAGGAATTGTTTTATAGTCAGCCTTACATGATGTCAAAGGAGGGCAATAAGTGTGTATTGATCCGGTTAATTAAACACATTTACACAGGGTTGGGAGGGGTATTTTTAATGCATTACAATGACTAGTTACCTGCAAAAAAAAGTGTAATCAACCTAATCTGAGTATCAAAATGTTCTTTACGTTGCTTTTGGGTTACCTCAATATCAAATGGAATGCAAATAGATCATAAAGAAATGATAATAACATGTTTTGTGTGTATTATGTAATATAACAGAACAATGTAACCTTAGAAAATAAGAAACCACTTTATTATATATATATATATATAATAAGACTAAAAAACGTGTCCTCTGCGCAGAGATTTTATCTATAGGACAGAAAAGTACAGCATCAAATCATGTGTTTTTATATGTGTTACTGAGTGTTACATAAATATATGAGTGAAAAACAGAATAGATGCCTCTGAATTGCAGTGAATAGAAGTATAAAGTAAAATGGAAAGACTCAACTCAAGTACCTCAACATTTTACTTAAACTATAAAATGTTGCCTTCCATTATTGAACAACTTGTGTGACAATGGGGGAGTGACTTTGGAAAAGGTCAGAGTTTTGTTGTGAAACCAGGTGTCAGTTTCTGGAGAATTCCTGGTTTGAATATGTGTATCAGTCTGGCTAAATAACTTGATCCGAGCAGTTAATCCCAGGACAAAATAACACACACACACACACACACACACACACACACACACACACACACACACACACACACACACACACACACACACACACACACACACACACACACACACACACACACACACACACACACACACACACACACACACACACACACACACACACACACATACCATGTATACAGGGCCAGCCCTAGGCACTGGCGAACTAGCCGGTCGCCTAGGGCGCCAGATCTGGAGGGGCGCTACGCTGGGAGAAAAAATATAATAATTAAAACAAAATTAAATTAATTAATTTTAAATTTGTATTCTGCCTAATTTTCTGCCCTTGATGTAATACATTTACATTAATAATTGAATAAAGTAAACACCCTTTGCACCCCGGGCCGGCAACATTTTGCATTTGCCCTGTACGATGTAAGTGGCACCAAATCATAATCTCGCCTAGGGCACCAAAATATCTAGGGCCGGCCCTGCATGTATACATCACTTCAAGGGACATAACATTGACTTACATGCATTTCCTGGAGACTTATCCTAACCTTAACCATAACCAACACATGCCTAACCCTAACCCTTACCCTAACCCTAACCAAGTCTTCACCCTCAAATGAATGATTCCCCTCATGGGACCTCCATTATGTCCCCATAAGGGAGGCGAATAAATATCTCGGTTCCTTCTTTTCTAAGGTCACATTGATATGTTGTCTAACATAAAACAGTAACAAAACATCTTATTGATATTTATTTTCTCTTGTATTTATTTGAACTGCATTTGATATTGAGGTAATCCAAAAGTACCAGAAAGTAATCATGACTTTTTTCTATGTTGATGATTAGATTAGGTCACTGATTACATTTACTTACAGGTAACTATAATTGTAATGGTGTACATTTTTAAACTAACCTGACAGTTTTTCTTCTTTAGAATAATTGTATCTTGTGACTGCAAGCAAGTAACACATTCACATCTATCATATCTGTAGACTAAATAGAGCTAAGTAGAACACACTGCCTCCCTGTCTTGTGGCCAAGATAAAAAAGCAATAAACTCAAATACTGTTGACTCTTGAATCCTCCCAGTATGTCGCACATTTGAAGATCTGGTAATCACGGGCCATCTTGTGTGATTGGCCCGCACAGAAAGGGAAGGAAATGGAAATAATTGAGCCTCGGAGAAGAGCTTCTTGGACACTTTCTCATTTTGAAAAGTGGAAACGCTCCACTTGATGGCTCTTACACACAGAGAAGCAAAACCAAGGGCTTGAGTAATGACCTGTGCTTTAGCCACGCTATCGGTGTCCCTGAAGGGATGCCAACATCAGTCAGTCAAAACAATTAGACACGTATAGCCGTGACATTTGGTACGGACATCCATGGTTTCTTATCTCATCACTGAAACAATCAATTGCACTGTTTTGTCCTCTGTCTCTCTGCACTGCTTAACATTAACATCGTCTCGTAATGTAAATTGTATGTTTGGATTTCGTTTTCAGTAGCATTTCCTGTATTGTGAGCCTGTATGTTGCATATTTATAAAGCTTTATTTAGCTTATACATTAGATAGAGTTCTCCTTACTTACTCCTGACTGATTTCTTGCTTTAAATACATAACCAATTAAATACATCTTTTACTAAACACAGTGGCAGAAGAAGTATTTAAAGCCTTTACAATTCTTTATAAATCTTTAAATGTACAGAGGGACCTCATGTTAAATAAACTCAGTTACAAATAACGGTATTAGCAGAAACACCTGCTCAGAGACACAAAAGTAAAAGGTGTTTATTATGTGAAACGTTCAAAAAGCTCTTTATTTTTCTCATACTGCCTGTGCTGCAGCACCTCTTTTCACCCTCTGTCTGAAACCAGAGCCCAGTCTGCTCTGATTGGTTAGCTGGCCGGCTCTGTTGTGATTGGTCAACTGCAAAGCAATGTCCCGCCCCTTAGCCTATCACGTACAATATGATGGAGCGCTAGCCAATAGAAGTACGAGTGTTACGTAGTGATGTCACTATGTTCCGGAAGTAAACAATAGCCGCTTTCACACCAAGTACTTTGCCGTACTTAGTGCCCGGCACTTAGTGCCCGGCACTTAGTACCCCCATGGAACTAAGTACAGATCGCGTTCACACCGGAATAAGTTCCCTGAGGGAAGATTACGCAAATGAAACCGCTGACGTCACTTCGTCTTCTTCTTGGGTTTACTGGCAGGCCGCAAACAACTTCACGGCGTATACTGCCACCCGAAGTCCCCGGCCGGAAGTCCCCGGAGTTGGGGACTGGCTTCAGTAGAAGCTGCTGGGACTCCCAGCAGCTTCTACTGAAGCCTTCAGAGTAAATCGCCAGAACGCCGACACCTCCTCATCACTCCACCACTCCCATGTTTTCTTTTGTGTTGCCATAAGTTAGTCTCTCTCCGTTGGTGCGCGGGGCTAATGCTAATGCTAATAATGCTAATGCCAGCAAATACAATGGCGGCTTCACAAAACTTTTCAGAGTTTTACGGGGCGTGGTTTGCAATCCGCCCAGCCAATCGAAATTGGTACTTTTTTCTCCCCAGGAAAGTACCACCTCTCTAGCAGGCACTAAAAATGGGGGTAAAAGTTCTGGGAACTAAGTACTCTTTTTGGTGTGAACGCAAAATCCCAGGCACTAACGGAACTAAACGGGAAAAGTACGGGGAATAGTACTCCGGTGTGAACGCGCATAAAGGAGTCCAGAGAAACCCCCTGGAGGGAGCTTTGGAATTTTAGCCTTTGCAGACCATATTAGATTAGCACAAAAACCTATATAACACACTAAGGAAAACCCCAAAAAGCACAATAAGAACTCTTTGAGTACAGTAATAAATAAATAAATGGCACCCAAAAGATATCTCTGTCTGAATCAAGTGGCTTTCATGTAGAACTTATATCTGCAATTTGTAGAAAGTTGACACTTCCTGTCCTTCTAGTCCCTGCCATACTGTGGCATGTGTTGAATCAGTGTCTCGGGATAATATGGTGCGCGATCTACCCTTCAACATAAATGTGCCGTTAGCTTATCCGCTGCTCCTGAAGCATCTCCCTGTGGTCAGATACATACGCTGACATATGTGCCAGGCCTACAGCTGCTGCCTGTGGAACGCTCACACCAGCAGTACTGCATGATGGGAAAGTGTCCTGCAGTCTGGAGGTTTCACGACAGCCTTTTCAACTGATTGGTTTGCTGTTTCTTCACCATAAAGGTCTTGTGGGTTTATTATATATTGTGTCTATGTTCTGATGTTAGATGGCCCCTGATTGCTTCCTCTGTTCGTGTGTAAGCATAATTGATTTGCCTCGTCATCCTCCCGAAGGGTTGAAGTGTTGGCTGCTTGATTGCACATGATTGTGCAAATAAACACATTGTTGTCGTCCTTTAAAACGAGCTAAGCAGAATACAGATCAATCTGATGAAGCTGACAGATCGCGTGTGTGTGTGTGTGTGTGTGTGTGTGTGTGTGTGTGTGTGTGTGTGTGTCTCGTATATCTTAATTTTCTGTACAACGGAGCTCACTTGTTTCCCAAACACTATTAAAAACACATCAATGTACTGGTTGATATGTTCCTTCATTACCATGATCACACACACACACACACACACACACACACACACACACACACACACAAACGCACACACACACACACACACACACACACACACACACACACACACACACACACACACACACACACACACACACACTATAATGCAGTGTGACTCAATCCCACACACACCTTCCTGCTCTTGGAAATACTCACTAAAGCACCAAGTGTGTATTCATCCTACATG